ATTTAAGGGTTCTCTTTAAAAGCAACTAAGATCAAAGCTTGGAGAAAAAGACGAGTTTCGGATGACACATTCAGGTTCAGAGTAAGGGTCGTGCTGGTGTCAGATTCTTGGATCGGATATTCCACTAGGATCTTGATGTCATTTTTGGCTTGGAATTGAAATTCAGGATGGTTGGTGGCCAAATAAAGCACGGGAGTAAGATATCGACCGCTCCATTGGACCCACTACACTGCTTTTACCCTTGAAAAAATTTGGCCCCAATAGAAAAATCTCCATATTACCTTGTGAATTCGAGCATAATCATTAAAAAAAATTCTATGTTTTGTGTTGGCATTGAATTTGTAGCATACTTCATCAAAAAATAGCACTAAAAGTTAGTTAAATATTGGGAGGCGCTAAAGCGGTTCTGAGGCTATCCGACTTGAATGCCTCTTTTTAGATGTATTGGGCATCAAGATTATGATGATTCGACCGCCATTTTATGATATTTTCATTTAGATGAAACGGCTCATACTTCACTATTCAATTTTTTTTTCATTAATTATGATAAATTCGGATATTAACTAAATATATTTCAGGGTCCTAACTTCTTAATTTTGCAACAGTCTCAAGTTGAAAGTTTGAAACTTGATAAAATCCTTAACCAAACTTCTGGCATATAATTTGGTGGATCAATCCTATGACACATTTGTTAAAAGTGTAGCATTGAATGAAATGAATGAAAAATTACGTGTAAAATGGATTAGAAGTTAAAGTTAATTTGCTAGATATTACTTATTAGTAATAGGCATAAAATTGTTGAATTCAATTTTGTATACAATAAATCCTCTTGGTCTTGGAGATAGTCCAATTAAAAAATAAAATTCACAAAAGTGCAGATAGAATTTGATGAGTATACGTGGTCAGTCCATATGTTAAAGAATTTACAAAAGAGAAAATCATGATTAAAATTGAAGGCCCTGTTTGGGAGAAATTTTAATCAAGATTTTAATCAAAATTCTAGCCGTTAACTATCAAATCAGCCACCATTTTTGACTTTCCCTCTCACAGGTGGGGCCCACATGTTGACTATAACAGCTATAATTTTGATTAAAATCCCACAAAAATTGCTCCCAAACACACTCTGAATTTGGTGCATGGAGATGCGGGGGATCGAACCCCGTGCCTCTCGCATGCAAAGCGAGCGCTCTACCATTTGAGCTACATCCCCTAGTTGTTGTCCAGGTTCTATTTGTTAAATATTATACTTGTTTTCATTGCGGAAGTCATGGAAAAACCCAATTCATCTTCCAAATATCCATTGCCATTCTCACGAGTTTTGGCCACCTCGGTGTATCTTTCCTCAGCAGCCACACTACCCTCGCCAGGTTGTAATCCATTCCCACCAATTAATTCGAATGCAAAATTGGGATAAGATCCTGAGCCGGGTTCACTAGCATCGCTCCAATTTTCAAGAGGTCCCAAATTGAGATCAAGATTCACGGCAGCAGAGGTCTCATCGGCCATTATAACTTGACGAACCCTAAAATAAAAAACCGTGCTTCTGTTCAGGTCAATTTAATCTTCTACTTTCCTACTCGCAGACTCGAGGATTTTCTGCTATATAAAATGAGTCGAAACGAAATAAATTTAGTCAGTCAGATAACAAAACCCTAATTTATTAAGTCTAGAAATCCTAGCCCCAAATTTTCCTCTTCTGAATTGAATTAAACCGCTATCTTGATCTGGTCATAAAAATAAAAAATTCACATAATTCATATGCTTAATTGAACAATATACAAACTTCTATCTGTGATAACAGATTAAAACCCAAAACAGGTCAACCGAAGGGGGAAAAAACACATTTTCGTCACCAACAACAGTACCAGAGAATCATACAGCCAAAACAAAACGCGAATTATTGCAGTAATTCATACTCCACATTGAGAAACGACACAAACATAAGGGTTCTCTTTAAAAGCAACTAAGATCAAAGCTTGGAGAAAAAGACGAGTTTCGGATGACACATTCAGGTTCAGAGTAAGGGTTGTGCTGGTGTCAGATTCTTGGATCGGATATTCCACTAGGATCTTGATGTCACCCGGCTTGGAATTGGAATTGGAATTGGAATTGAAATTGAGGATGGTTGGTGGCCAAATAAAGCACGGGAGTAAGATATCGACCCCTCCATTGGACCCACTACACTGCTTTTACCCTTGAAAAAATTTGGCCCCAATAGAAAAATCTCCATATTACCTTGTGAATTCGAGCATAATCATTAAAAAAAATTCTATCTTTTGTGTTGGCATTGAATTTGTAGCATACTTCATCAAAAAATATTACTAAAAGTTAGTTAAATATTGGGAGGTGCTAAAGCGGTTCTGAGGCTATCCGACTTGAATGCCTCTTTTTAGATGTATTGGGCATCAAGATTATTATGATTCGACCGCCATTTTATGATATTTTCATTTAGATGAAATGGCTCATACTTCACTATTCAGTTTTTTTTTTTCATTAATTATGATAACTTCGGATATTAACTAAATATATTTCAGGATCCTAACTTCTTAATTTTGCAACAGTCTCAAGTTGAAAGTTTGAAACTTTGATAAAAGTGTAGCGTTGAATGAAATGAATGAAAAATTACGTGTAAAATGGATTAGAAGTTAAAACGTTAATTTGCTAGGTATTACTTATTAGTAATAGGCATAAAATTGTTGAATTCAATTTTGTATACAATAAAACAATAAATCCTCTTGGTCTTGGAGATAGTCCAATTAAAAAATAAAATTAACAAAAGTGCAGATAGAATTTGATGAGTATACGTGGTCAGTCCATATGTTAAAGAATTTACAAAAGAGAAAATCATGATTAAAATTCCCTGTTTGGGAGAAATTTTAATCGAGATTTTAATCAAAATTCTAGCCGTTAACTATCAAATCAGCCACTATTTTTGACTTTCTCTCTCACAGGTGGGGCTCACAGATTGACTATAACGGCTATAATTTTGATTAAAATCCCACAAAAATTGCTCCCAAACACACTCTGAATTTGGTGCATGGAGATGCGGGGGATCGAACCCCGTGCCTCTCGCATGCAAAGCGAGCGCTCTACCATTTGAGCTACATCCCCTAGTTGTTGTCCAGGTTCTATTTGTTAAATATTATACTTGTTTTCATTGCGGAAGTCATGGAAAAACCCAAAAACTATTTTCCCTCCAAAGATAACAACGTTCTATTGTGTTGATCAAAAAAAATTTTAAGGCTTCAAAAATTAATCGAATGGAATTTTTATTTAATACATTAGTCTTAAATCTTCGCTGTCAAAAAAAAAAGGAAAAGAAACACCACATGCAAAGGAAGAATCCATCTGAACAAAGTTATAGAACTAGGCTAGCAGCAACCTGTCTGATCATTTGTATTTGATCGATTTATGCTCTTGATTGATTAATCAGAATAGTTATGTAAATTCTCCTTTTTAGCACGGTGGCTCTCACTTGCTGCCGCATTGTCTTTGCATTTGAGCCTTCACCATTGCAAGATTTCTGCGTTGCAGATCCGTCTGGCTCAGGTAATCAGGCTTATTAATTCATCCACATTAAACGATGTATTATGTAGAATTTCATCGTTTGTATGGAAATTAGAGTAATTCTTTTTGGGTTTCTTTTCAGCTAGAGCAATATATCGTAGGATTAAATAATTTGTCATTCTATCACCATGTCCCCAACTTTGCGCGTCCATGTTCACCACACAATTCGATGCTAGCTTTCTTTAAAGAAATTTAAAGGTATCTCAACTTGTGCAAAGTGTTAAATTGCCTCTAAAGCTCCCGGTGCAACCTTGAAAAAGTGTGCACGAGTGCAAGGCGTGTGGTTTGTGCTAAGTGACGATACTGATAAATGCTATTCATCTAGAGTCTAGATGATTAAAAAGTGGATTCACTATCATATAGACCAATGATCATGTAAACTCTAGATGAATAGCATTATTCGATGTTAGTAGTGCAAGTGCAGGATACGCTGCACCAATCTCAATACTTCTCTCTCTCTGCTTAAAGATGTACCACCTTTTATGTTTTCTCACTATAATGGGAAACAATAATCCGAATGCTACTAGCGTCCAACATGTAAAGAAATCATCCTCAGATCAACTGCTGAGAAAGTTTGCTGAGGTGGGTTCTGAATCAAATCACAAATTCTCAGCTAAAAACGAGTTAAGACTGGCAAAATGGGCAAAAAGAACCATACCTCTTAACAGTAATGTTAATGCTCCTTCGGTGCTACTTCCTCCATCAACATCTCAGACTGGGTAAGGCCGAGATCACAGTCAGGGAGCTCAAGAACAAGTCCATTCATGGGTACCGTTAAGAAGGTGATATTATTTGACTCTCTCTCTCTCTCTCTCTCTGTGTTGAGGAGTATATATACAATATACTGAACTTCTCTTTTTGTATCCATGAGCAGACATGGAGTATAACGATTGCAGGAGCTTTGAGGGTCTTATGGAGAAGCATTACAACTGGCACAAGCGTCTAACTGATGCCAAATATTAGGTCATGTTGCTACACTTTTATACTATAGCTTCTTACAACCATGAACCATCACTGTCTCATTTCAATTTTGCGGCATAATTGTCATAATTTTCTTGAACTTGAATAGTAAACTCATTGGCAATGCAATTTGGTTACAGACTGACATTCAGTCATCCAGATTGCAAAAAATTCACATTAACTGATAGTATATGACAGATAAATCCAACGGATAAAGAAATAATGTAGAATCAGAAATGGGACAATCCCTTTATCTTAAAGTAAAATCGCGACAACATTTTAAAATACTCTACTCTTCTACCTAGTTATGTAAATAGGAAAAATGAATATTTGGCAGGATTATTGTTCAAATCTTGAAAAGTAAAGACTTAGGAAAGAACAAAAACAGAATCATAAGGTAATATGAATGAGAAAGCAATTCCACAAGAGTTCATATAAATTCTTCCAACCATCTATTATTGGAAAATCTTGATTTAGAAGCATTTTCTGTGAACAATCGAAGGGCCAGACTCATCATATTCTGCTTTTGCTATCCACATCTGCAGTCACATAAACAAGACAAGTCTCTCGTCAAAATTTATTCAGGTTCCTACCCAAATAGGCCTTAGCATTCAGAGAATTAAACATTAGCAAAGTCAACCAATTAACTACAAAGCACGGACACTCTTACTGGAGTGACATGTCCATGTTAGATATTTGTTGGACCTCAACACTCACTACGAGGTTCCAACACTCTGGGACACTTCCCAGATATACATGGAGCACATCTAGGGAAATTTTAGCTTGTCTTTAACCCTTTGGTAGCAGAAATACAGCAACCTAGACATTAATAAAGCAATAGGGAGGCTGTTATGAAATATACCTGTTGGAATGTGCTTAGAGAGGCCAAAATAGAACCTCCAATCCATACACTATACTTCCTCTCCGGTGGAGCCACCACCTTAATCTTCATGCTGCTTGGAGCTAATGCAGTAATTTCCTTGCTCATCCTGTCAGCAATGCCTGCGAACATTGTGGAGCCACCGCTGAGAACAATGTTGCCATACAAATCCTTCCTAATATCAACGTCGCACTTCATGATAGAATTATATGTGGTTTCATGTATTCCAGCAGCTTCCATTCCAATCATTGATGGCTGGAACAGGACCTCTGGGCAGCGGAATCGCTCAGCACCAATAGTGATCACCTGTCCATCAGGCAATTCATAGTTTTTCTCCACAGACGAGCTGGTCTTCGCTGTTCCTAGCTCTTGTTCATAGTCGAGAGCAATGTAAGCGAGTTTCTCTTTTATATCCCTTACAATTTCACGCTCAGCGGTTGTGGTGAAAGAGTAGCCTCGCTCTGTCAGTATCTTCATGAGGTTATCTGTAAGATCACGCCCAGCCAGATCCAGACGGAGGATTGCATGGGGGAGTGCATAACCTTCATATATGGGAACTGTATGGCTGACACCATCCCCAGAGTCAAGAACAATTCCTGGAAATAACATTAGTAAAGCTCATATTTCTGTAAATAGAGAAAATTTAGCAGATATATGATGCATCAACCTAAGCTTAATCCACTGGTTTCTGAGGCATTCAACTGATCAGGAGCTGACGGTATATAGCATGCAAGTGGTTCAAAAATTTATAGTAGCTTCAGTTACTCTATTTATAATATATGGAGTGCAAATATCAATGTGTTTCCTGTTTGTCGACTTACTTTTCAGTTGAGAGGCAAACAGAATATGGAAATGGATTTATAACTGGGAATCCGAGTAATGCAGTGCCTATAACCATAATAATGCAATATCTGCTTGTATGCGTAAAAGCATATTTTTAGGTAATATTAAAGGCAATTATTTTCTTCAGAGGGAAGGGGTATATTTAGCCCACTGTTTGGTAGAAATTAAAATTAGATTTTTAGTATATTTTGATAAAAGTTGATGAAATGTGTGGTTGAAAAGTTGTGGATTCCATAAAATGTATGGTTAAAATTAATTATTGACTTTGATTTGAGATTTTAATTGGATTTTAATCCGATCCAAACAGGGGCTTAGTTTGATACACTAAACTAAGCAACTTTATGTGCTTTCTGTGATGCTGAGAACATTGCACGTGTCTATTACATCATTAATCTAGTTAATGAACAATTTTATATTAGTGTTCAAAAGAGAAAAAAATATAAAATTGAACTTACCAGTTGTACGACCACTGGCATAAAGGGAAAGAACAGCCTGAATGGCAACATACATGGCAGGAGTATTGAAGGTCTCAAACATGATTTGAGTCATTTTTTCACGATTGGCCTTGGGGTTAAGTGGAGCTTCTGTCAAGAGAATTGGATGCTCTTCCGGAGCCACACGAAGTTCATTATAGAAGGTGTGATGCCAAATCTTCTCCATATCATCCCAATTGCTAACAATTCCATGCTCAATTGGATACTTGAGAGTCAAAATACCCCTCTTGGATTGAGCTTCATCACCAACATAAGCATCTTTTTGGCCCATGCCAACCATTACACCAGTGTGACGAGGGCGCCCTACAATGCTCGGGAAAACTGCCCTTGGAGCATCATCCCCAGCAAATCCAGCCTGACAATTTTAAGATAAAATAACGATCGTGAATCAATGCACAAATCTCTCATCTCATCTTTTGAAGGATACGTATCGGAAGTGTGGAGTAATAAAGAATTGATGTCAGATGGTTACCTTGACCATTCCTGTTCCATTGTCGCATACGAGAGGTTGAATATCCTCAGCTTCTGCCATCTCTTAATTCACTGTGAAGAAAAACAATTCAATTTTATGCAGAGAAGAACTATTTTATAACCATTAATTTTATTTTTTTTGCATTTGATGTCATGCCAAGAAAAAAGATTATCAAACCCAGCATTTCTTAATATTTTGATCAAGATAGCATAAAGAGATCGATAACATAACAAGAATGAAACAAAACCAATTCTTTACACAGATCAAAATTCAGCAATGAAAGAAAGCAACAAAATGACAGATATTATCACAAAGCAAATCTTTTTGAAAAATGAGAAAGAAAAATCAAGATTGTACCTTTGAGGCTTTCTTGAAAATGGGTCTCTCACTCTCTTGTTATGAAACTTCTCCTTGGCTGAGGTACCCGCCCTCTTGTTTTGAATAACGGGAAATGAAACTGTGTGTATCTTGTGATAAATGAAGCTCAAATAGATAGTTGAGAATATCGGGGCCGTTTATTGCTATGACACCATCATGTTGATATAGCTGGATCATTTTTGCATTCACTCCTCCGTATGGACAGATGTACCCCTCGCTTCTCCCTTAATTCCCTATTCGTTCTTGATAACTTCAGAAGAAAAATAGAGGGAAATCTCTCCCACTGCCCCCCCAAACATTACAACTTGTTGCACTTGAATGCCCAATAATTTTTTTGTAGCATTTAGGTCTCTAAACTGTCTTTTTTTTTGTGTGCATACAATAACAAATGGATTAAATCAATTCATTTCTTCAAACAATCACTTGAAAGAATGGGAAACTTAACTTAATTTATGGACAAATAGAAATACCCTAAAAGAATGGTTCACATTCGAAATCTTTTATTGATTAAGCGAGAAGATCGATCTATTTCATTAAAGGAAAAGGGGATTCGCAAGCAAGAAGTTTCTTCTCGAATGGACTTTCTTGTAAGGAAATATGGCTTTTAAGTTATTATTTCACTGAATCTATTCGTTCTTGTCTGTACAAAAAAAGATAATTTGGAGGACGGCGATTGAGAATATCCGTAATTAATTTTGGTGGTAAACTAATATGAATGAGCAAAAAACCTTAGTTTTTTTTATAGTAAAATAAAAATTCATAAATGATCCACAAGGGGGACAACAATCTTACGTCCAATATGTAAAATCTAGGGGGCAAGTTCGTCCGACCACGCCAAAAAGTTGAAAATGACTTTATTTTGTCCAACTTTTTCTCTTTTTTCTTTTATAATTCAGTTGCGGAATTAGTGGACTGCAATAATATAAATACGTGGACATTATAGAATTTGTGTGGGTCCAGTGTCAGCTCATCCAACAGCCTGGAGATGCTGTCGCAGGATTTTGTGTCCACCCAAACGTGGCCAAGTTCACCGGTTGATCCGGTCAGCATGATACATCTATCGCTCTGTCCTAACGTGTCATTACACTATTCTTTTTCTTACTGGTTGAATTTTCATATAAAATAAAATAATTTTTCTAGCCTACACTATGCCCCCTTCTAACTAATAATCAATTTTTTAAATTTTGATAAAAAATGATGAAATGTATTATTGAAAAGTTAAGAGAAATTATAAATCCATGTGGTAGGAAGTGAATTGAAGGAAAAATGCCTTTTAAAAATTGGTACAAACATGGACTTTAAGTAATCCACTTTTTCGTGGATGTTCGGGTCAAATTGCGAGCACCTCGACTACTTTTACGGGACCCTAAAATTTACGGTCGGGTACTCACCTCAATGGTTCTGGGAGGACTCGAACTGGTGACCATTGGGGAGCAAACCCAACTTTAAGTAATCCACTTATAATTACAAATTTATCGATTAATTAATCAAACAATTAAAGTAAAAAATTATTTTATGAAAAAAAAAATGACAAGGAATTGGGTATCAAGTAAACGATATATTCTTATATAAATTAATACTCCGTGTAGCAATAATAAGGAAAAAAAAAATTGCTATGATTATTTAGTTTCCGTTAAGAATGTATGCACATAACTCAAATTGCAATCGAGAATTATTTTTTCCTAATTTGGTTAATAGAGATTCACACTTTATTTTAATGAAAGCATAGAGTTAGATACTTCACCAATTGGGATAAGCAATTTATCTTGATAGTAATGAACGTTCCATCAAAATATTGACACTTGTACGTAGTGTATAACTTGGAGTGTATTGGACGCGACCATCTTGTAAATTATATTTCATAGCATGACATTGCATACAAATTGATTTACATCTTCTGAATTCACTTATTCCACTATAGAGTTGTTATTCGTGAACTCGATTTCATTTGGTGTGCCAATGAGTGAGAACAAATTACACAACCAAAACATCGATATGTTGGGAGCCGATATGAATTAGTAGTGAGCACATATTCACATTCAAGATATATCACGCCGTTAGATGGGTTGATAGTAGAAGAGTTAAATGATAATTGATTAAGAGTTTTGCTTGGGGTACATAGGAGATAACATATGGGTTGACGTAATACTCACATGGGGTGGAGCCCGCTTTTAAAATGGGTCCCACCCCATGTGAATATTATGTGTACTATTATGTAGAAAAATTATGTACAAGTAGCATTTTTTATTTATTAATTTTCATTTGAGTTTTCCAATCACCTTTCTTTTAAGTATATGCATCAGTAAGTGGGTGTTCATGAAAATATCTTTTGAATTAAAATAATCGCAAAAGTATGGTTCGTTGACAAATAATACAGTGAATTTTAAATTCAAGTATCATCCCACAAGAATTGATTTATTTCAATTTTAATTATCACGACCTTAATCAAAACACAAATAATATGGTGTGTTTGTTTATAACAAAATTATGAGTAAAATAATTGACTTATGCAATTGTGAGTAAATTAACTAAATGAAATGCAAATTGATGTGTTTAATAAATGACAAACGCACTAGGATCCCAAATTTCCATGCAATAATCCTTTTTAACCTCGGTTCTTCGCCTTAACAACACGATTGAATTTTGATTAATCAATAAACCGACTATATTTCAACGACGGATGTGAATATATAAGAATGCGTAATTTTTATAAACACTTAAAGATTCACCTATAGCATATCGGTATATTTATATTCCCTATCGAACCCTATTACGATTTTGCACTATGTCGAACCTATATTACGATTTACAATATTTTTGAACCTATTTTTCTTGTTTTGAATGCATAAAATAAGCCACCAAATTCATACAATTACCGTGCACAATAATCATAGAAAAAAGTTGATCATGTAAGTCATTCAAAATCCAAAAACGTGTTTTCAACATCATGTATATAAAATTAAAGATTAAAAATTCATATTACAAGATTCATCGTTCTTCTAGCACAAACAAATATTGCTTAACGTGTTATGAAGAATAACACAAATTGTATAACAATTGTTCATCACCAAAAAATTCTTGAATTCAATCTTCAAGTTCTTGAAATTGAATCTTGATGCGTTCATTGCCTCATTTTGCAATTAATTATTCACACCCTAGTTATGTTTTGAGAGTTTGTATATATATCCTCTTTAAAGAGTTTCAAAATATCTCCAAAAATCATGCATTTCATAGTACAAACGAAATTTTTTTTGTTAGAATTGAATTTTGAATAAAATGGAATTTTCTAGCCGAATTGGCCTGGGCACAACGAGGCTACTGTCCAAGTATACTAAATAGCCACTTAATCAATGTTATGGGCCGGGCAGCCGCCCTTATAAAAAATTCTCGAATTTTCCTTTTAGTCATTTTCTTCATCATTTCTTCCATCTTGGTCCTCCACATTAAATTACTTTGATTTTAGTACTTCAACATTTACTTAAATACATATTAGTCCCCAAACTTTTACCCATTAGCCAATTGATCTTTCTTTATTTTTCAATTGATTAAAAATGGTCCAAAATTGAAATAAGATAAAATTAACACAAGTCAAATAAAATCCAACACTAAAATGATACAAAAACTTAATAATGTGGCCAGAATAAATGCACAAATATGCATTTATCAGTGGGTTTTTGTAAGCTTATGCAAGTAGATATGATATTTGATAATGAACATACAAAATTTTACTTGCAAAAGTTTAGGGTATTATAAATTGTCCCAATCGTTTTACAATCATTGCGCAAATGTCTCTATCATTTTAAATTTGTCAGTTGCACCATCATTCCAATATTTCCTTCCATCTCCTTCCGTCAAATATGGGTAATTGGTGCAAAATGTACATATAGCTTGCCTTCATTGTGCAAAATGTCCTAACAATCTATTTTATCAAAATTACTAATTTACCCTTGTATTTAAATAAACAAATAGAAAATAAATAAATAATATAAAAAATAAGTAATTGCAGCTAGAATTCCATTTAGAAAAAAATTTACAAATAAATCTCGTGTAAAACAATTTTAAAATACAAATAAAAAATATATTTTATCTTCCCAATTAACCCCACTCATCCCTACCCCTACCCCCATCTCCTCCTCTCCGTACCACCAAAATCATTAAAAAGATAATTAAAAGTATAAAAAAAGTAAGAAAATAATAAAAATAAAAATAAAAATAAAATTTAAAAATAAACATAAACATAAACATAAAAATGGTTCTTCTACCTTATCCAATTATGCACATTGCCACTGCCCATTCTCCCTAATAAGTTTTAAATTATTTCAAGTTGAACTCGTTTCACTATTTGGAAATTTTAGGACTTTGACTGCAATTATTTATTTATTTTTATATTATTTCTCTCTTTTTTATTTGTGTTATTTAAAAATGAGGATAAATTATTTATTTTACAATTTTTCAATGGAGAAAATAAACGGTGGGAACTTTTTAAGCAATGAAGGCAAACGATGAGAACCTTTTGAGCAATGAAAGCAAATGATAAGGACATTTTGCACCAATTACTCATATATGATTAAATGAATTGATGGAATGAGACAGAAATAACCAATTCTCAAAAAAAAAAAAAAAAAA